ATGGCTGAGTTGCTGTTCCCAGTTTCTTCCACTTTGTTATAATACCACTAACAGTTGACTGTGGAATATTTAGTTGCAAGGAAATTTTCACGGATGGACTTATTGCACTGTTGGCAGCCTATTACGGTACCACGCTTGAATTCACTGAGCTCCTGAGAGCGATCCATTCTTTCCCAAATGTTTGTAGAAGAAGGCTGCATGCCTAGGTGCTTGATTTCATACACCTGTGGCCATGGAGGTGATTGGAACACCTTAATCCAATGAATTGGAGGGGTGTCCCAATACGTTTGGCAATAAGTGAGTGTGTGTGTATGTACAGTGTGTTCAAAATAATAGCAGTGTGTTGAAAAAAGTGAATAAAGCTCAAAATCCTTCTAATAGCTTTTATTTCCATACACACAAATGCATTGGAAACACTATACATTCTATTCCAAATCAAAACATGAAGAAAAATATATCACATTTTGTGTGTTCCTCTAAAAAAAATTGAAGAAAAGTGAATATTAGACTGTTAAAAAAATAGCAGTGTTTGTATTCTTCTTTACAAACTCAAACATTCAGTATATAAACTGAAAAACATTTGAAGATTTTGCTTTCCTTTGAATCACTTAATTAATATTTAGTTGTATAACCACTGTTTCTGAGAACTGCTGTACATCTGTGTTGCATGGAGTCAACCAACTTCTGGCACCTGTGAACAGGTATTCCAGCCCAGGATGATTGGACTACATTCCACAGTTCTTCTCTATTTCTTGGTTTTGCCTCAGAAACTGCATTTTTGATGTCACCCCACAAGTTTTCTATTGGATTAAGATCCGGGGATTGGGCTGGCCACTCCATAACGTCAATCTTGTTGGTCTGGAACCAAGTTGTTGCACGTTTACTGGTGTGTTTGGGGTCGTTGTCTTGTTGGAACACCGATTTCAAGGGCATTTCCTCTTCAGCATAAGGCAGCATGACCTCTTCAAGTATTCTGATATATTCAAACTGATCCATGATCCCTGGTATGCGATAAATAGGCCCAACACTGTAGTATGAGAAACATCCCCATATCATGATGTTTGCGCAACCATGCTTCACTGTCTTCACAGTGTACTGTGGCTTGAATTCTGACAAACTGTCTCCGGCCACTAGACCCAAAAAGAACAAACTTACTTTCATCAGTCCACAAAATGTTGCGCCATTTCTCTTTAGGCCAGTCAATGTGCTCTTTGGCAAATTGTAACCTCTTCAGCACATGTCTTTTTTTTCAACAGTGGGACTTTCCAGGGGCTTCTTGCAGATAGCTTGGCTTCACATAGGCGTCTTCTAATTGTAACAGTACTCACAGGTAACTTTAGACCTTCTTTGATCTTCCTGGAGCTGATTGTTGGCTGAGTCCTTGTCATTTTGGCTATTCTTCTTTCCATTCGAATGGTAGTTTTTCGCTTTCTTCCACGTCTTTCAGGTTTTGGTTGCCATTTTAAAGCATTTGCGATCGTTTTAGCTGAGCAGCCTATCATTTTCTGCACTTCTTTATATGTTTTCCCCTCCAATCAACTTTTTAATCAAGTTACGCTGTTCTTCTGAACAATGTCTGGAACGACCCATTTTCCTCAGAATTTCAGAGAGAAATGCACTGTAACCAGCTTGTACAACATTTGCTGCCTTCCTTTCTTAAATAAGTGCAATAATTGCCACATGTTTTTTAAAGAATGAATGACCTCACTAATAGAACTCCACACCGCTATTATTTTGAACATGCCACTTTCAATTAGTGATTCAGTTACACAGAATCAGCAGCATGCACGTCATGACTGTTGGGTCTGTTGGATTTCTTTTACTCTAGACCTGCTAGTAAATTGTTTGCCATGTAGAAATACCATTTCTACCAAAAACAGTGATTGAGCAGGTTAGTGATGTCTGACCGCTATTATTTTGAACACAACTGTGTGTGTGTGTGTGTGTGTGTGTGTGTGTGTGTATATATATATATATATATATATATATATATATATATATATATATATATAAAATTACACTTACAATATCCTACAACTGCTAGAGAAGCATAAGGAATCCACCACCAAAATCAACACAACAATCAATGAAGGTCTTCAGTTTTTGTTAGAGGCGAACATACTTCTGGAATCATTCTTTTCTCTGGCTACATCCAAATCTTCAGCACCATAAGTAAAACCTGACTTGAAGATTGTACAGTGCTAGAATACATGCTGGCTTCACGTGCTGGAATGACCACGACATGAAAAGTCTACTACTACACGCAATACCCTAGTTGCAAAAGAAGTACTTTCCACCATATTTTGATATTCCCTGCCTAGTTAGCTATTTTTGGCTCTGGTTTGACTTTTTTCTTTCACATTTCTGCTTTGTTCCTGTTGAAATATGTGGTTAACCCGAGGACTTCCTTGTTACGCATGTTTTCTTTCCATTCTGGGCTCCATAGTATGTTTCCTGACATCATATGCCCTCTACTTTTCATTTCCGCAGTGTAACTACTATCTGCCACTTTTCATCCACCTGGCTATGAGCCAACCTACCCTGTATAGCTCTCCATATCGTAATCTTTGAATCTTACTACTATGAGTCTTAAATATTTTTCTTCCAATGTGCGGGGCCTTAAGTATTCGGCAAGTGCAAGTGTGGCAAGAAACTATCCAACAGAAAGCGGATGTGCTGGCAGTTCAGAAAACTCATCTCCACAGAGACTATTCTCCAAAATGCACCCACAAGAACTTCTCTCATGTGTTCTCTTCCATGGCTGCCAAGAAAATCCATATGGGCTCTAGACTTAAAAATTTCAATTAATGACTAGATAACCTTCTCTCTGAAATCCATGCCTTAAATTCCCCCCCAAAAAAACGCACATCCTCAGTTATAGCAGCTGCCTTTATTGAAACTTCAAAATGAGCTTAGGGGGATTGCTTATTGAATGTCACACTTGGAAGCTTAATCTTCTCAAACTCAAATTTTATGCCCATTATAATATGCCTTGCAAATTTTTAGCTAGTAGAATAAAAAAAAACAAAACAAAACCGAGCTAAGACTATGATACCATTTTTTGTACTCCCCTTTAGCAACAAGAAATTTTCAGACCCCAAAGATATAGCCGATGGCTTTGCGGATTATTATGGTTCTTTATGTAACTTGAAAGATAACCGTGCCACACTGCAACCCTCTGATGACTCCATACAGTCGTTGTTGACTCCATTACAACTTTCCACACTGTCTGATACACAATTGGAGAAGCTGAACTACCATTTCACCATTTAATGAGGTGTGTATTTCTTACCTTCTGGCAAATCTCCAATTCCAGATGGGTTCACTAATAATTATTACAAGGCCTTTAAAACTCCACTGTCTCCCCATTTATTTAATCTGTTCTAAGCTGAGTCCTTTCCTGAAGAGATGCTGCAAGCATATGTGGTCATGCTCCCTAAACCTGGTAAAGACCCAATTACTCCAGCAAATTCTCACTCTATTTCACTATTAAATTCTGATGTGAAAATTTATGCCAAATTATTTTCCAAACGATCATTGAATATTCTTCCTACACTGGTCAAACCTGACCAGATGGGGTTCACAAAAGTTAAAGCAGCCGATGCCAAGAATTCTTAATGTTGTGCATCATGTGAAGCTTAGTCATGTGCCTTCTCTGCTTCTATTGATAGACGCATTTTATATGCGACTAGTATTCAAACCAAGCATCAGAATGAAGAAGAAAGGGGATTTAAATGACATTGAACGTGGGCATGGTTGTTTGTGCCAGGTGGGCTGGTCTGAGTATATTAAAAAAAAATGCTGATCTACTGTGATTTTCATGTGCAAGCATCACTAGGGTTTGCAGAGAGTGTTTTTCAAAAATAATCCAGTGAGTGGCAGTTGTATGGACAAAAATGCCTTGTTTGATGTCAGAGGTCAGAGGAGAATGGGCAGACTGGTTTGAGATGATAGGCAACAGTAACTCAAATAACCACTTATTACAATCAGGGTATGCAGAATACCATCACTGAATGCGCAGTGTGTCGAACCTTGAAGCAGATGGGCTACAGAAGCAGAAGACTACATCGGGTGCCACTCCTCTCAGCTAAAAACAGTAAACGGAGGCTACAATTCGCACAGGCTCACTAAAATTGGACAATTGAAGATTGGAAAAACTTTGCTGGTCTGGTGAGTCTCGATTTCAGCTGCAACATTCAGATGGTTGGGTCAGAATTTGGCGTAAGCAACATGAATGCATGGATTTATTCTGCCTTGTATCTGTGGTTCAGGCTGGTGTTGTAATGGTGTGGGGGATATTTTCTTGACACACTTTTGGCCCCTTATTACCAATTGAGTATTGTTGAAACACCACGGTCTACCTAAACATTGTTGCTGACCATGTCCATTCCTTTATGACTACAGTGTACCCATTTTCTGATGGCTACTTCTAGCAGGATAATGCACCATGTCACAAACCTCAAATCATCTCAAACTGGTTTCTTGAACATGACAATGAGTTCACTGTACTCCAATGACCTCCACTAGAGATGAGCGAATTATTCAAAAATTCGGTTCGGCTGATTCGCCGAATTTGCCGATTAAATTCGCTTCGTGCCGAATATATTCGCTGTGAATTTAACTTATAAAAGGGTGTGTTTCTAGGCTTCAGAGAGCCTTTATATTAGTGCAGAACACTGTACCTTTAAATTTAAATGCCCTTGGAGTCTGCTGGGGAAGAGAAATAATACTGTCAGTCAGTATGACATGCAGATGAGTGCCGTCGATCTTAGAATCACCGCACACTTCACTCATTTGGGCAGTCACGGGGCCAAAACCAGAGTGTGGAGCCACAGTGTGGCGGTGGAGGCAGCAGCAATGGGAGGCCATACAGCACCCTATGACAAAATGGAACCCACCAGCAGTGTGAGGAGACCTGAAAGTGGCACATGGCAGAGTGTATCGATGGAGACAGCAGCAATGGGTAGGCCGTACAGGGACCCATGACACACTCTGGGGACCTGGCAGCAGCATGAGGAGGCGGTACAGGGGCCCATGACAGATTACGGGCCTGGCAGCAGCATGAGGAGTCGGTACGGGGGCCCATGGCAGATTACGGGCCTGGCAGCAGCATGAGAGGCGGTACAGGGGCCCATGGCAGAGTGGCGGAGCGTAAGCAGCTAAAATTGAAGGCCATACAGAGCCTATGTTAAAAAGTCCCCCCAGCAGCAGCGTGGGGAGACGACTATCAAGAGTCCACTGGCAGAGTGGCGGAGCAGAAGCAGCTTCAATTGAAGGCCATACACAGCCTAGGTTAAAAAGCGGAAGCCGTCAGCAGCGTGAACAGACGACAGAGACACATGGCGCAGGGTGGCGGTGGATGCAGCAGTATTCGGAAGCCAAACACAGGCCTCGGTTAAAAAGCGGAAGCCGTCAGCAGCGTGAGCAGACGACAGAGGCACATGGCGCAGGGTGGCGTGGAGGCAGCAGCAATGGAAGGCCATACAGCACCCTATCACAAAATGGAACCCACCAACAGTGTAAGGAGACCTGAAAGTGGCACATGGCGCAGTGGTGGAGGCAGTATTCGGAAGCCACAGACTAGTTTTAAAAAGCGGAAGCCGTCCAGCGTGAGCAGACAGGCACATGGCGCAGGGTGGCGGTGGAGGCAGCAGTATTCGGAAGCCATACACAGGCCTAGGTTAAAAAACGGAAGGCCGTCACAGCGTGAGCAGACGACAGAGACACATGGCGCAGGGTGGCGGTGGATGCAGCAGTATTCGGAAGCCAAAACAGGCCTCGGTTAAAAAGCGGAAGCCGTCAGCAGCGTGAGCAGACGACAGAAGCACATGGCGCAGGGTGGCGGTGGAGGCAGCAGCAATGGAAGGCCATACAGCACCCTATCACAAAATGGAACCCACCAACAGTGTAAGGAGACCTGAAAGTGGACACAGGCACATGGCGCAGGGTGGCGGTGGAGGCAGCAGTAAATTGGAAGACATACACAGGACCTAGTTTAAAAAGCGGAAGCCATCAGCAGCGTGAGCAGACGACAGAGGCACATGCGCGGTGGCGGTGGAGGCAGCATAATTCGGAAGCCATACACAGGCCTAGGTTAAAAAGCGGAAGCCGTCAGCAGCGTGAGCAGACGACAGAGACACATGGCGCAGGGTGGCGGTGGATGCAGCAGTATTCGGAAGCCATACACAGGCCTAGGTTAAAAAGCGGAAGCCCGTCGCAGCACGTGAGCAGACGACAGAGACACATGCGCAGGGTGGCGGTGGAGGCAGCAGTATTCGGAAGCCATACACACCCTAGTTCACAAAATGGAACCCACCAACATGTAAGAGACCTGAAAGTGGCACATGGCGCAGGGTGGCGGTGGAGGCAGCAGTATCGGAAGCCATACACAGGCCTAGGTTAAAAAGCGGAAGCCGTCAGCAGCGTGAGCAGACGACAGAGGCACATGCGCACGGGTGGCGGTGGAGGCAGCATATATTCGGAAGCCATACACAGGCCTAGGTTAAAAAGCGGACGCCGTCAGCAGCGTGAGCAGACGACAGAGACACATGGCGCAGGGTGGCGGTGGATGCAGCAGTATTCGGAAGCCAAACACAGGCCTCGGTTAAAAAGCGGAAGCCGTCAGCAGCGTGAGCAGACGACAGAGGCACATGGCGCAGGGTGGCGGTGGGAGGCAGCAATGGAAGCCATACAGCACCCTATCACAAAATGGAACCCACCAACAGTGTAAGGAGACCTGAAAGTGGCACAGGCGCAGGTGGCGGTGGAGGCAGCAGTATTCGGAAGCCAAACAGACGAGTTAAAAAGCGGAAGCCGCAGCAGGTGAGCAACGACAGAGACACATGGCGCAGGGTGGCGGTGGATTGCAGCAGTATTCGGAAGCCAAACACAGGCCTAGGTTAAAAAGCGGAAGCCGTCAGCAGCGTGAGCAGACGATGGCAGAGGCACATGGCGCAGGGTGGCGGTGAGGCAGCAGCAATGGAAGGCCATACAGCACCCTATCACAAAATGGAACCCACCACAGTGTAAGGAGACCTGAAGAGGCACATGGCGCAGGGTGGCGGTGGAAGGCAGCAGTATTCGGAAGCCATACACAGGCCTAGTTAAAAAGCGGAAGCCGTCAGCAAGCGTGAGCAGACGACAGAGACACATGGCGCAGGGTGGCGGTGGGATGCAGCAGTAGATCGGAAGCCATAACACAGCCTAGGTTTAAAAAGCGGAAGCCGTCAGCAGCGTGAGCAGACGACAGAGGCACATGGCGCAGGGTGGCGGTGGAGGCAGCAGCAATGGAAGCCATACAGCACCCTATCACAAAATGGAACCCACCAACAGTGTAAGAGACCTGAAGAGGCACATGGCGCAGGGTGGCGGTGGAGGCAGCATATTCGGAAGCCATACACAGGCCTAGTTTAAAAAGCGGAAGCCATCAGCAGCGTGAGCAGACGACAGAGGCACATGGCGCGCAGGGTGGCGGTGGATGCAGCAGTATGGAAGCCATAACACAGGCCTAGTTAAAAAGCGGAAGCCGTCCAGCAGCGTGAGCAGACGACAGAGACACATGGCGCAGGGTGGCGGTGGATCAGCAGTATTCGGAAGCCATACACAGGCCTCGTTTAAAAAGCGGAGCCGTCAGCAGCGTGAGCAGACGACAGAGTGGCACATGGGCGCAGGGTGGCGCTGATTGGAGGCAGCAGTATTCGGAAGCCATACACAGGCCTAGGTTAAGCAGCGAAGCCGTCAGCAGCGTGAGCAGACGACAGAGCACATGGCGCAGGTGGCGGTGGATGCAGCAGCAATCGGAAGGCCATACACAGGCCTATGGTTACAAAAGCGGAAGCACGTCAGCAGCGTGAGCAGACCTGACAGATGGCACACATGGCGCAGGGTGGGGTGGATGGCAGCAGTATTCGGAAGCCCATACACAGGCCCTCGTTAAAAAGCGGAAGCCTGTCAGCAGCGTGTGAGCAGAAGAACAGAGGCACATGGCGCAGGGTGGCGGTGGAGGCAGCTAGAGCAATGGAGGCCATACAGCACCCTATCACAACCTGGAGTATTGGAACCAACCAACAGGCGAGCTAACGGAGACTGAAGAGACCTGTGGCACATGGCGCAGCAGTGGAGGCAGCAGTATTTCGGAAGCCATACACAGGCCTAGGTTAAAAAGCGGAAGCCGTCAGCAGCGTGAGCAGACGACAGAGACACATGGCGCAGGGTGGCGGTGGATGCAGCAGTATTCGGAAGCCAAACACAGGCCTCGTTTAAAAAGCGAAGCCGTCAGCAGCGTGAGCAGACGACAGAGGCACATGGCGCAGGTGGTGGCGGTGGAGGCAGCAGCAATGGAAGGCCATACAGGCACCCTATCACAAAATGGAACCCACCAACAGTGTAAGGAGACCTGAAAGTGGCACATGGCGCAGGTGGCGGTGGAGGCAGCAGTATTAGCCCATAACACAGGACTAGTTTAAAAAGCGGAAGCCGTCAGCAGCGTGAGCAGACGACAGAGGCACATGGCGCAGGTGGCGTGGTGGATGGCAGCAGTATTGGAAGCCATACACAGGCCTAGGTAAAAAACGGAACCCAGCCGTGAGCAACTGAAAAGGCATGGCGATGAGGTGGACTGAGCGTTAGCATTTAAAAAGCGGAACATGGCCGTCAGCAGCGTGAGCAGACACAGAGGCACATGGCGCAGGGTGGCGGTGGAGCAGCAATGGAAGCCATACACAGGCCTCGGTTCTGGAAGCCCAGCAGCGTGAGCAGACGACAGAGAACAAAACGCACATGGCATGCAGATAGCAAACAGCTTCAGCTAAGGAGGCGGTACGGGGCCCGTGGCCAGGTGTGATGGGGCACAGCAACTGGAACCCCAGCAGTTGTGAGGCCCCGATCCTGCTACATACTGCATGGAATTATAAAACAACAGACACAGGTCTATGGAGACACTAATAGCAAGCATGACTTGATAGGCCAGTGGCGAGCTATCCAGCATGAGTATATCATGACCACCTATTTGTACAGAGGCGGAAGGCTAGGACTACAGAAGACAATGCGCATGAGTGGCCGAGTAGGCGCCAATAACAGCATATTAAAGTCAATTATCAGTCCAGCCAGCGGCCTCAAAGGTGCACAAGGAAAGCAATAACTTGCCATGTTCAGGGGCATGATTCATAGGGATTTAGTCAGTTGTGTCAGGAACTGGTGGTTTGAAATCCAGACTAATCCACGCCTGATTCATTTTCACAAACGTGAGTCTCTCCACACTTTGGGTGGACAGTCGTGGCCTCCGCGGAGTTACAATACCTCCTGCCGCACTAAACACGCACTCCGATGCCACGCTACTGGCAAGGCATGACAGCCTTTCAAGGGCAAATTCAGCTAGTTGGGCCAAAGGTCAAGTTTCGTTGCCCAGTATCAAGGGGATTGTCTACCTCGGTTGGCAGGGGTGCTGTCCAAGTAGGCCCAAGCCTGTTGTTTGAGGTCCTGCTCCAGGTCCCACCTGATGCTGCTGCTGCGGCTGGTTTAGTAGTTTCCTCACTGCGCTGGTGAAGAAAGCTACTCATCATCGACTGCAGACTGAGGCAGCCGCTGCTGGTGGAGCTGCCACTGCTCCTACCACCCCACCCCTCCCCATGCTGCCATGGCAGCGGAACGCGAGCGCACAGGGCCCACAGTGTCTGAGGGATGGACGTTGGCGCAGAAAGGCAGAGACCAACTGACTACATAGGTGGTTTTTATAGTACTTTATTTTGGCCTCCCTCTCAGCAGGTGTGAAAAAGGCCACCATTTTTGAACGGTAGCGAGGGGTCCAACAAGGTGGACAGCCAAAAGTCATCCCTCTGTCTGATGGTTATTATTCGGCTGTCGCTACGCAAGCAACCGAGCATGCTATGGGCCATTTGTGCCAAGGAATGCGAGGGGGACTCCCTGCCTCCATCTCCACAGCATACTGCCACGGTGCGTCTGGGTCCTCTGTCTCCTCCTCCTCCTCTACCAGATGCTCCTGCTCCTCCACTCCTGTCCGCTGAGTGGAAAAACCACC